TGAATATACCATGGACTGCCAGAAGAACGAACAAATCTGTCTTGGAAGAAGTATAGCCATAATGCTCCTTAGAAGCAAGGATGGTGAGACTTTATCTCATTGACTTTGGACACGTTATCAGGAGGGATCAATCCCTGGAGAAGGACATCATGCTAGGTAAAGTAGAGGGTCAGCAAATGATAGAAAGACCCTCAACAAGATGGAGTGACACAGTGGCTGCAACAGTGGACTTCAACATAACAACTATTGTGAGGATGGCGCCTGACCGGGCATTATTTCGTTTTGTTGTACATAGGGTTACTATGGGTCAGAACCGACTTGAGGACATCTAACAACAACATCCTAAATCGCCAGTATTACATGAGTGACCATTCTAGCCAGTATAACTCTCCTTTCTCTAAAATCGTACATTTATTGTTTTCTCAGTAATCAAATACTGCCTTTTATTGTTGTGTGATCTTTTTCCTAAACTAGATTATGTATTTCAGAAAGAAAGGACCTTATTTTATGCTGGATTTTGTATCCCCTTTGGTGCCAAGTGTCATGCTATAGTAATAATAGTAGTACTTATAATAAAATCAGGGGTTATCCTGTTTTTGTGTATGTGTGCGTTCCTCCTGTGTTCCAGGTTCCATAGTGACATTATACCTAAATTATCTCTAATCATCACAACACTATTGGATGGTAGATACAGTGACTCCTGTTTTACAGCTGAGAATATATATGATCAGAGATGTCAAAGACTTTCTCCAGAATTGCACAAGTAGCAAGTAGCTTGCCACATCACCATGGGTGGTGCTCAGAAGGTAATGGTTGAAAGAAATAATGGCTGATGACTGTATTGGGCTCATTTTCTTGAGACAGACGAGACTGAGCAGCCTGAGAACATTTGGTGCTCAGAGGGAGGAAATACTAAGGGGGGAAAACAAGTCTGAAAGGGAGAGAAGGATAGTTCAAAGACCAGTTTCCCCTGCTTCACAATTTTGACTGGTGCCAGCTCTAACTGCGTATGTTTGCTTTACTTGGAAGATAGACTCATAGTGCCAGAATTCACGGAAGTCTGTTATAGAGGATACATTAGTCAGGGTATGCTAATTGCTGGAACCAACAGCCTCCAAACTTCAGTAGCTTAACACAGCTTTGGTTCATGGACCAGTGTGGGTTGGAGGTGAGGCTCTACTCCCTGTAGTCCTTCCAGCCTAGGTTCTTTCATGGGCATTAGCTCTGCCATCCCCTAGTGTCTCAGAATTTCATTAGATTCTTTCTATCTGTCTAGTCAAAGAGGAAAGAGTGTGTGGAGGATTGCATGGGAATTTTGGGGCCATACTTGCAAAAGGTGAGTATTACTTCTGCTTACATTTCATTGGCCAAGTCTCAGTCACATGGTCACATCTGACTGCAAGGGAGGCTGAGAAATGGAGACTTCCTGTGTGTTAAGTGAAGAAGAAACGGAGATTGGTGAATACTTAGCATAGTCTGAGCCACAGACACCAGAGACCTGAAAGATTGGTGCACTACTGGTTTACAGAGGTTTTGGGCTTTTGATGAGGCAGTACCCTGTGGTGCATGCCCAGCCCTTGGATGACATTTGTTTTGAGGTCTACTGATGGCCTTTAACTGGGAATGTTGTTTACCTCCTCTAAAGAGAATATAGTAATGCAAATGTTAGGAGTTGTTTGGGACACTAAAGGAAATTGTAACAATGGAACTGATTTGTTCACTATCAATGGATATCCAAACACTAATTCTTATTTATAGGTTTCAACTGAAACCTGCAGTGTTGATGAGGAAGAAAGGAAAAATGCTGATGCAAAAAGGAAAAGGTAAAGACATGGTGGGTAGGATAGAGGCCCTTTTTCTTTGGGAACGCATAGCCATATTTCATATAATTAAATTTTGTTCCTTTTAATGAAGCACTTCTTATAAATAATATAGAGGCTTTCCTCAAAGTAATATTTAACATTTATAATTTTCACGTTAAAGGTTGTACCATCTTTAATTTGCAAAACTGGTTATTCCTGTTTAGATCTAATGTCATATGTTTGTGGTCTTCGGTTTCAGAGCAACTTCTTTGCAGAATCTTGTGCAGTGCGTTGAATTAAAGGGAGAGGAAAAAACTAAAAGCTGGGGGGAGGTGAGATCTTTTAAAAACAAATTGTGATACGTTTGATACAATGAAGAGAATACATTTCAAGTCTTGCTTTGCGTTGGCTATTCTTTTGGTTTCATTCTGTATTTTGGAGGCTTGCAGCGTATCTTTTCTTGGGCCTTCTTATTTGTAATTGCAGATTTAGCAGTTTCTTTTGTGTACCACTTGCCTCCCAGAATTTGGCCCAACAGTTTTGAGTAGCTGAACGATTTATTGGGGACCGATCAGCTGAAATGTGGCCCAACTTTAGTAAAGCAGAAGGAATGACATAAGGTTAGGTGACTGATGTGTGAGTTTTTGAATTTGATGTGGTTTTACATGGAAAGGTTGAAGCAATGATCCATGTATTCTAATAAAAATCATCAGTACAAATCAAATAAAATCTGGCTTAGTGGCGATTTTCCCACTATGTCACTCACGGCTAGCCTGCGCTGTTACAGACCGCGTTTGGCAGGCACTGTTTTTTCCTACAACAAAATCTTAAAGTCGCATTGCAGTCTTCGCTGTGCTAAGAAGGCATGTTTTCTAATCAAACTTTCTGCTAATCTCATCAGATAAGTCATTATTTTTGACTGATAGCCCTGGTTTCCCCTGTACCCCATTCTTCCCTCCTTCTTGTTTTCCCTCAAGGATGCCTGGTTATTGTCATTCCTCAGATCTTTTCTTCTGTCTCCTTTCAAACTAAGGAATGTCTTCCATTCCTGAGGAAGAGTTACTGCTTTTTACCACTCCACGTACTGAATTGGTAAGCTTAGGACATCATAACAGCTCATCTCTTTCTGACCAATTGGCCATTGGTTCTGATCAATCCTAGTTGCAGACCTACTAGAAGAAAAAGGCTTATTCCTGTGTCCACAAGCTGGACAAGTAAATTAATGCAAATGTGTTTTGACTCCTTGAGTTATATGCGTGTTTTAAAGCACTTGAAGGTGAAAGTAAGAGCAGCCACGTGGTTTGGAGAAAGCCGTGATCCATTTTTGTCATCATAGCACTGACCTGCTAACACAGCCCTGGGTCTTCCTGAAACCATTGCAGAGTTTGTGCCTTTTTGGCAAAATGGCATTATATGGGATATAGGTCAGCACAGGGAGGAGATTAGCAATTTTGATTTCATTGCTGGCGTGATTTAAAAATTGTATTAACCCATTGCAGTCGAGTCAGATTTTTATGGCTTTTGTTTTTACTCATTTTTTCTTTTGTTTTTACTCTTTTAAAAAATGATATTAACTTACTCACATTTTAAGGATGAAACTTCTTTTAATCTTTATTTCATACTTTAAATTATTCTAGAAATATCTTTTTAAATGAGGTGAGTATAAAAGCTTTTTGGAAAGTAGAAATCGCAGTGCAAAAGTATGGTTGTATTATTGTGAGATAAAATGTAAAATCCTTAAGCTACCATACCCTCTGAACGATCTGATCAAAAAGGAGTTATCACTTGAACAAGTTGTAGCTTATGGGAATTGTTTAAACAGGATCATCAGTATCAAGAAACTATTAGTAAATTCAAATGTGTGTGTGTGTGTGTGTATGCTGATTTTACTCTTTTTCTCTCTCACACACATACTGTACACACATTTATGGCTCAAATTAAGAAAAACCTTGGCAGTACATGCCAGGCATTTGGCTGAAATGAAGTCGCGAGGAAATTTTTCCAAGCATTCAAAGGATGAATGCACCATTCAGTTTATAAAATGACTAGGGCTTCGTCCAAGGGCTAAAGGGACCATTTTTATCTTACATTGATTATACAAAATTAACTCACTCAATATTGTATATTATGCATATGTCCTATGAAATAACAAAGTTCCACTCACAGCCTTTTCTATGCTCAAACATAACTGCTCACTCTTTTATTGTGGCTAATTCATTTGTATACTTGATCTCTAACTGTGGGAATATATTCTTTTCAAGGTGTCAGTTTACTTCTCCCTTTTAACAAATTTTAGATCTGTTCCCTACTTTTTTCGCCAGCCTGTGAAAACGAAACTAGATTTTTTTTCTCTTTCAGGAATGTACTTGTCTTTATCCATTTAACTTTAATTGGAGAGTGCTACTGCTGTAGCATATCTCTTTTACACAGTGGTTTATAGAGTGTGGTGGGAGGGGCCATAAGAATGGCCAGTTAGGGTAGTGTAGACTCCAGAATGGATTATCCAGCTTGACTTCAGGCATTGCATTCATTCAAAAGTGGGTTCCTTAATCTTATCTTCATCTTGGCTGAATTCCTTCAAAGTTAATAGTATATTCTATTAATTTTTTCTGTTCTCTGATCTCCCCTCTCTCCTCCCACCCAGGACACAAGGAAAGACACTACTAATAATTGCATCTGTTAAATTATCTCTAAGGTATGAGTAAACGATCGAGGAATATTTCTTACCAATTCAAATGGAACACAGGTTTCAGTTTAGTTTTGCATTTATTGTCTGACATTTCTGTGATTTTAAAAGCTAGGCGATTACATACCAAAGATCTGTAAGACTTACCTAGGAAACTACTGTGAGTTATCCCTGGTATGAGCGTGGAGAGACTAGGGGTTGAGGGAATTTTCTGTTCATATCTTACCTTATGTATATATGTGTGTATATTTCAATAAGCATTTAATTAAAACGATTTTAAAGAATCTCCCTGTAGGTTGCTGTTTAGTTGCATGGGGAAGAATTGTAATTATACAGTGGAGAATTCACGTAACACCTTGACAAGATGATCACAATTAACATAACAAAGGAGGGGCTGACCAACATGCTACTATGTGGCTTTATATGCAGCATCCTGGAAAAGACACAGGTCACTGTTACAGTATTATGGCCATTGATGCATTACCTGATCTAATCCTGTAGAAGCCTCAGGTAAATCCAGATTGAGAAACATTCTATAAAATAACTGGCCTGTATTCTTAAAAAAAATCAGTATCACAAAAGGAATAGAAAGGCTGAGGAACTGTTAATGTGAGAACTAAATGCAGTACGTGATCCTGGGCTCAGTCCTCTACAAAGAGGGAAAAGCCACTTGGAACATGGATTGTGGATTAGAATAAAGGTATTGTATCTACGATAAATGTCCTGGTTTTGATAAGTACTGTTTTTGTTCTTTGGAAATTTGCACATAGAAGTATTAAGGGGTAAAGGAATAGGATCGATGCAGTCTACTCCTGTGATATAATGGATTGCTTTTATATGACCTTTCTTGCCATGATCTTGTAACTTCCACCAAATGATTGGGTAGGACTATGGAAATAAAATGCTTGTGGCCCACCAGGGGGATTGGATAGCTTGCTAATAATGGAAATAAGGTGCATGGCACCCTTGTGGGGGTAGGACCATGCAAATAAAGTGTATGGAACCCTAATGAGATTAGTCAGTTTCGCCATTCCACCAGGATTAAAATAAACCATTCTAGAGGTGGAAAGGGGGACCTGACTACTATCAAGAAAAAGAGATGGGAGCAGAGTGCATCCTTTTGAGCCGAGATCCCTGCACTGAGACCGTTCTAGACCCAGGAGACAGAGAGACAGAACTGTAACACTGGAGACAGCAAGAGGGTGAGAAGCATCGACAGAGAAAGGGAGCAGCAGAACCAGGAGACCAGCAGGAGAAGGCGCAGTGAGCTTCCTGGCCTATAGAGCAAGCGAGCTGAGCGCCTTTGGACAGGAGGCTTGCTGGTGGAGGAAGGTGCTTCTGTGCACTTTTGGCCAGAGCTAAAGAACTTTGTAACACTTGCCCGAGCAGGGTAGCTGCTGGGCCGAGGAGCTGAGGGCCAGAGAGAGGCCACTGAGAAGAGGCTGTCTTGATCGAAGAACTGTATCCTGAATTGTAACCTGTTACTTCCCTAATAAACCCCATAACTGTGAGTGTGGTCTGTGAGTTGTGTGTGGCTCTTGCAACGAATTATTGAACCTAGCAGAGAAGTAGAGTGCTGTGGGAGGGACAGTTGTCAGAACTGGTAAAAAGTTGGAGGTTCGAGGTATGTTTGATCCTCCGCCTCATAGCAGTCAGCCTTGGGCTGTTGATCTTGGTTCTCCTACCCCCTTGCAGAGTTAGAGGAGGTCAAACGCCTCTACCACATCATTATTACAACCCCCAAATGCTTTAGAAATAGTAAATAATATAGTTTTAACTGCATTGTAATGAAAAAAAAAAATAATTAAAAACAAAAAAGTAGAATAGATATAGGAAGAATTTAAAACTATATAGTTTCCTTGATTCCAACCCTTGATCTTTTCTTCATTAGTTCTCTGGTGGGACCAGGGATTCTGTGTTTTTTTGTTTTTTTTTTTTAAAGTAAGGTTCCTCAGGAGGCTTTGATAGTCAGCCCTGCTTGAGAATCCGTATCGTAGATTGTTATCCTTTCAGAAGGAATTGCTAGAATCATCTGAGATTGGTCCCCTGTCAGTATAGAAGTGGTAGAAACTCACTCAAAATTGGAAAAAAAAGGCAAAGATTGATTTTGTTTAGTTTTAGGATTTGAACATAGTATAATATTGTGGTCCTCTTTGTGGGTTATAGCCTAGTCATAGCAGCCTACAGTTAACCAGACGACTCGGCATTGTTCATACACCACAAAAATTAAACATTTCGCTTCAGTTCATTCTCTCACAATTCTAATTAATGACAGTGTACTGTATGGAGTATCAGACTGTAAATTTAGGCAAAATGCATCCTGTTGAGCCCATGG